AGCCTCCCAAAGTGCTGGGATCACTGATGTGAGCCACCATGCCCGGCCACTTATTTTCTGGGGGTAGGGGGGGCGGAGAGACAGAGTCTCACTCTGTCACCCAGGCTGGAGTGCAATGGCACCATCTCGGCTCACTGCAGCCTCTGCCTCCCGGGTTCAAGTGATTCTCCTGGCCCAGCTTCCTGAGTAGCTGGGATTACAGGCACCTGCCACCACGCCTGGCTAATTTTTTGTATTTTTGGTAGAGATGAGGGTTTGTCATGTTGCCCAGGCTGGTCTCGAACTCCTGACTTCATGTGATCCATCTGTCTTGGCCTCCCAAAGTGCTGGGATTACAGGTGTGAGCCACTGGGCCCAAACATCGGCCACATTTTTTTAAAAGAAAAATAAATTTAGGCCGGGTGTGTTAGCTCATGCCTGTAATCCCAGCACTTTGGGAGGCCGAGACAGGTGGATTACTTGAAGTCAGGAATTTGAGACCAGCTTGGTCAATACGGCAAAACTTCGTCTCTACAAAAATACAAAAATTAACTGTGTGTGGTGGTGTGTGCCTGTAGTCCCAGCTGCTCAGAAGGCTGAGGCAGGAGAATCACTTGAACCTGGGAGGCAGAGGTTGCAGTGAGCTGAGATGGTGCCATTGCACTCCAGCCTGGGTGACAGAGTGAGACTCCATCTCATAATGAATAAATAAATAAAATAAATACAGGCCGGGCCTGGTAGCTCATGCCTGTAATCCCAGCATTTGGGAGGCAGAGGTGGGCAAATTGCTTCAGTCCAGGAGTTCGAGACCAGCCTGAGTGACACAGTGAAACCCTGTCTCTATTAAAAGAAAAAAAAAAGCCAGGCGTGGTGGTGCGCGCCTGTAGTCCCAGCTACTCGGGAGGCTGAGGTGGAAAGATCACTTGAGCCTGGGAGATGGAAATTGCAATGAGCCGAGATTGTGCCACTGCACTCCAGCCTGGGCGACAGAGCAAGACCCTGTCTCAAATATAAATAAATAAATTTTAAAAAGAAATAAAAAAGGAAACAAAAAGGGTCTTGGCTCCATAGAGGTTTCTTTTCTCAGTTTTAAGAGTTATTTCTCACGCCTGTCATCCCAGCACTTTGGGAGGCTGAGGCGGGAGGGTCACTTGAGTTCAGGAATTCTAGGCCAGCCTAGGCAACATGGCGAAAACCTATCTCTATAAAAAATACAAAAATTAAGGCCGGGCGTGGGGGCGGGTGCCTGTAGTCCCAGCTACTTGGGAGGCTGAGGCAGGAGAATCGCTTGAACCCGGGAGGCAGAGGTTGCAGTGAGCCCA